GTAACTGTTTAACTCTAGGGGAGTTGGAAAATGAGCCTATTTTCAAAAATAGTGGAGTGTTCCTTTAAGTACTTGTTTGTCATGCCATCCCCTAACCAGCCACTAGAGGCAGTAGAGCTCAGACATTCCTGCTACCCTGAAGTCAAAGCAACAACACAGCTTATGTTGCAGTGTGCGTATATTATCAGTCCAAACATAGTCTATTCCCCTTGATGCATGTTCCTAAATAGTGCTGTACAGCCAGACCTCATGCACAGGGAATCCCTTGACGGCATTTAGCTGGCCACTGCAGTTCAACCACACAGTAAAGATTGTTTCCACTTGTGCTATTTATGAGTTACAAAAAGAACGCAATACTGGTAGCCAAGGTTGGATTTATTCACGCACATTAAAATATTTATTTGAAGCTTCTTTCTTTTCAGATTCTTATTTACGGCATTATTTTAATAGGATGTATATTAACTTATTGGGAGAAAACCGGTAGTTCTATGTGAAATCAGACTTTTGAGCACCCACATATAGCCAAAATGGCATGATCATAACACCCCGCGAATATTCGACTGTGAGATTGGTAGTTGAATCAGGCTCCTCCTACCGAAGCATCGAATCTTCGACTATTCGGGGTCACCCCTACTATCTACATGGGTTGTTGATGTGACATGGCGTTTTCACTGTCCCACAAGATAAAAATGAATATAATTAATATTGTCATTATTTAAAATGCAGTAAATCGTTAAACATGTCTTTGTCTTGCATGGACCCTTTGTTATAAAAGCGGCAGTGTTATTTGCTTTTTAAAAATTTTGAGCCAAATCTCAAAATTGTCCTATGGTGTGACTGTCTCAAGCCTTCAATAAATTACAACTTTTATGAATGAAAAAGAAAAGCATAAAAATTTTAATAAATACCTCCGGCATAATTGTACAAGTGTCTATTTTAGTAAATGGCAATCATTTTTTTCATCCATATATTTCTGAAAACATAGGAACTTATATATTTTGTCTCTAAAAACCATGTCCTCTGGTGTGACACCATATCCTGATTTTAAATTGGCCAATTCCAGAGAAAACTTTAATTAGTTGAAGGACCCCATTCATGGTCGTGTTACTGAAGCCCTATTCTCGCATAGCCACTGACGTCTGAAGGTCTGGAATCCATGGCAGCTTTCATTGGCCAAGGTCCGTCCATGAGGCCGTTTGACCGACATGTCAAACAACCAATCACAGTTTGTTTCATTCATCGTCACGTTTCGGGGCGTGGAAATATCGCCACAATAACAGACCAGTGTGTAAAACTCTCAGACGTATTTTAAAGATTCTATGCCGCAAACTTAAAAATTTTCACATACTTTTGAAAATCCAGCGTTTAGTTGATTCGTGAGGGAGTTTGGTGTCACGGCATCTTTGTTTCCAGGCGGAACGTTAAAGAACGCGACACACACGTCTCCCGGAAATCCTTTATAATTCAACCAAATCCGATGACGACTTTGAAACCCCTAAAGTGTTTCCACTTTTGTGTGCCCTATGCATCAGACGTTTAGCCAACGGTCCGTGGGTGTGACGTCTGAGGCTGAGACTACTGAAGCCCCTGTTAAGCCCATGAAATGTGCACATGGTAAATTTTTGTCTCAGAATTGTTCAAATATTTAACCTTTTTGGAACCACTACAAAAGTGTTAAGTTTTGTTGTCCTTTGGTGTGACACCCCTACATTATATTTTTTAATTAAAAACTGCATGTTGAACTACATAATCATGGAAAATTAGTGGAAAAGAGAGGACACGAAATATAGACAGAAAATTAACAGGGATCCACTAGAAGGGAGGAGATCCTAAGAGAACGATGCAGAAAGTAAATAGAATCAAAATGATGCCTTAAAAAGAGTAGCCATATAGTTTTTAAAAAATCCATTCACATCTTAATGAATATAGTTTGAATATCAATCATATTTAGCTGTGCCGCACATGCAGCAGGGCGGCTAGAAGAGTTTCAGTAACATACTGATTGCGTAAGAGACTGAATTTTGTTGATGAAAATTATTTTGTTTTGTTTAAAAAACATGTTGATGTTGTTTGTATCAAAATTAAACTTTCTTTCTCCTTTGACATGTTCAAAATTAAATAGAAATACTGCCTATCAGAGGTGGAAAGAGTACGAAAATATTCTACTCAAGTAAAAGTACCATTACATTAATGAGATTTTACTTAAGTACAAGTAAAAGTACCAATCTAAAAATCTACTAAAGTAAAAGTAAAAAGTAGCTCATTTAAAATTTACTCAGAGTAAAAATTACTTAGTTACATTTTAACAGTGGGAGGGAGGCAAAAATGGGATAGGCCAAGTGTGTCAAATTCAGTTCCTGGAGGGCCACAGCCCTGCACAGTTTAGATATAACCCTAATTAAACACATCTGATCCAGCTAATCTAATCATTTAGACTTATTGAAAACTACATGGTATGTGTGTTGGAGCAGGGTTGGAACTTGGAAATAAACTCTGCAGGGCTGCGGCCCTCCAGAAACTGAGTTTGACACCCCTGGGATAGGCCTATAAATCTCAAACTAGTTGTTTTTATTTTAAGGAATCAGTTATTTAGAATAAGAAGACATTTGGGCTGTTACCAGGCAAATTAAATCCGTATCAACAAAATTCATCTTTGCAATGCAGAGGAAACACAGAAGCTTCATCTGAAGTGGCATTTAGATGTATTTACACACTTTAATGCAGGACATGAATGCATTTAACCTGCAGTTACAAATGCACAAATAATGTTTTGATATATACTACATAAAATGTTGAATACTCAATACTCAAAAAAAAACAAAAACAAAGATCAAAAGCCAGTAGGTGTCAGCAAGTCACTGTTAATAAGTGAGTCATTGCGATTGAACCGAATCATTTAAATGGTTGATTCATTCAGGAAATAAACACCGTCATTGCTCAGAGATGCAAAACTGTCCTATGGTGGCTGTTTGGAATTATTTTTGTTGTTGAAATAGAGCAAAAACAGGCAATATGGTGTCTAAAACTCAAGGTGTCTAAAACTATATGAAATGATATAAATATATAAATTTTCTGCCCCTATATCTTCAATTTTGTGATCATTCTAAATGCATTTTAGCAGACTGAATCACGCAGTGAAAGAACACACTCTAAATGCGCGCGCGCACTAGTCAACAGAGGGAGACTTCACGGCACTCTGTAGGAATGTTTTGTTTGCTTTTTGGCAAAATACTGATAATGTCAAATCGCACATCGTTAAAACAACAATTACGATATTATCGCAGACGATATATATCGCACACCCTGCACCACTGTCTTTTTGGCTAATTTGTGCAAAACCTTTTGCTAAACTGTCAAAGCTTAATTTTAACCACCAATGCAACGATGCAAGTATTTAGCTTACCTCTACTGCATACTTGCGAAGGGTTGATTTTGAGATTTTATAAGCTGCTAGTTTGGTCTCCCTAGGCGAACACAGCTTACACTGCATAATAGAGCTTAAATATGGCCAGGGGTTCACTTCATTTCCTTCGAGTTCAACTTCAGCAGAATACGACGGGGTTTCGTTTTCAGCTGGGTCTGCACCACTAATGCCTGTCTTGTCCGTCCATCTTTCTTGTGAATTTAGCGGCAATTTGTTCTCCTGCCCATTATTTACTGCAGTAGTTTCAAGGGAGCGATTTTTTTTTACTCAGTAATTAATGTGTTTTCAAATGTAGCGAAGTACAATACTTATAATACATAAAAGTAAAATTACAGATTTTAAAAATTACTTTAAAAAGTAGAAGTACGCAAAAAAGCTACTCAATTACAGTAACGCGAGTAAATGTAATTCGTTATGTTCCACCTCTGTGTCCTATGGTGTGACACATAATAGAACCACAGATTTGTTTTTATCCCAAAATATCTTAAATAAAACAGTTGAGTATTGCAGTAGGGGAGATATAAATATCACTCATCTTAAAATGGTAGAATTTTCAGCAGTTTTGAATGGATGACAGCAAAGTTTGTCTTGTTGTCAGTTTGTCTTGAAATTGTCCAACAAGTCAAGGGGAAAAAATGATGATAATTAGAATTTCATATTAAATAAATAACACTATATGAAAATAATGACTGATTCCAAATTACATGACAAAAACTGTAGTTAGTACCAATCCATTACATTACACATTTTAGGTAATATAATCAGACTACTTTTTGATTACCTTTGACCTAACTTGCTTGACCTAACTGTAATCTGATTCAGATTATTTTAAAATCTAATTTAATCTAATTATAGGTACTTAATTTTTGGAATCTGATTATGTAATCCAGATTACATGTAACCAGTTACCACCCATTTTTTTTCTTCAACATTTTTGAAGACATGTAGGGAAAACAATACCTGAATAGAATGTGTTGATCTTGGAAAGCTCCTTTTCACACGTCTGAAAGAACTTCTCCTCAAACTTGGCATAGTATCGTTTGACGGTGTCTTCATCTGTGACTGAAATAGACAAAAAACAAAGATGTACATCTGTGTTTATTTTCATATTCAGCATTGGGCACTAATCCACCACATCCCAAAATCCACATCAACATTCACAGCCTCCATCCTTTATACTCACTCCTCAAAGCCAGAGGGAGTTATAAAACCAGTTCTTTGAGCTTCAAACAACAAATCTTAAATTCCAGATTTCAAATGCAATATACATATTTATGTTAAAATTTAGACCATGAAAGTTAAGATAAATGTTTGATATTTAAACATGTTTTACAGTGCAGCTGTCTGTCTCTTCCACTCTGCTGACTTTAGTAAAGGAAGGATGCCTGAGGCATTTGGCTGTCAAAGTTGTCTCTCTCTATAAATAAGCCAGAGTCAGGTAAAAGCTTTTAGCATCTATTACAAGAAGATATTAATCAGATACAACTGCTCGCATCTACTTAAGTTTATACAGACCATGCACCAAATATTGCCTTTGAATATAAACTAGAAAAGTCAGATTCATTAACAAACAAGTCTGTGGGTTCTGTGGTTGCACATCAGTTCAGTGGATTTAATCCATCAGTATGGTTTGTTGAAAAAAAGACTATAACTGAAATTGACATTACTATTATGGCCCAACAAAGCAATTAAAACACAAACATTGGAAAATATAATACACAGTTAATTTTATTTCCATAAGAAGACTGAACTTAAAATATCACTGGGTTACAATTTACATTTTGTAAACAAAAACTTAATTTGCAACTTAACATTAACAAATGGAGCTCAAATAATTTCTTATTATGTGCAATACTTTTCCAAAGGTTCTTTTTTAAGAGCATATGGTATTACTTTTGAAGAATCTACACACGTTGACAACAAAGAGAGAGACATAATGACCCAGGAAGACCTCTGACCCCTTGCATCTCTCTGTGTGATGTATAATGAAGAGAGAAAGAGTAATTCTCTACACCCATGGACACCTGTTCCCCTAAATGACACATTCAACTCACATACAACTACAACACAACATTCAAGTTCACCATATATCCAGTGTTCATGATAAATCAGATGTCTGATTTATTGTTTAGCCTTAAAAACTACATGAAATCATTTTCATGCATGTTACTCATCTACTTGTCTTTTCTGTTGATAATACCAAGGCTGTGTGGGTAGGGATAAATAATATCACATAACATCCACAATCCAATCAAATCCATATGGATAAAGATCAATTTCCCACTGAATGCTACAGTACAAATACATCTCGTTACATACATTAAATAAGTCATAAATACAATTTCATGTCACCTTGGCAAGATAATTGAAACAAACAGCACAGCTTGTTACAAGAAAAGCATGTATACTCATTAGGTCTGGGTTGTCACGGTAACAGAGGAAGCCCTGTGTGATGTCTTAAAGGGGTCATATGATGCGATTTCAATTTTTCCTTTCTCTTTGGAGTGTTACAAGCTCTTGGTGCATAAAGAAGATCTGTAAAGTTGCAAAGACTAAAGTCTCAAATCCAAAGAGATATTCTTTATAAAAGTTAAGAGTCAACCACGCCTACCTAAAACGGCTCGTTCTAACACGCCTCCACATGTCTACGTCACGATGTGGGAAGATTTGCATAACGCCACCCAAATGTGCACGCAAAGAAAGGCGGCGTAACTTTTATTCTCGCTGTAGTATTGTTGTTGCCGCCGCCGCCATGTTGTGAAGGCGCTGTGTGTTTCGTTGTGAAAGCGAAACTACTTTGTTTGGTCTTCCAAAAGAGGACACGACTAGAAATCAGTGGTTAAGTTGTATTTACAACACTGAGAAAGGCGGGGCATAGAGGAGAAACAATAATGTACAGTATGTGGAAAATAATGTGTTTTTTTAACCTTAAACCGCATAAACACATTTCATTACACCAAATAATGTTATTTTTAGCAACATCATATGACCCCTTTAAGTGGTGTCTTCCTGCTGTTCACCGCGAGAGCCCTCGTTAGCCTTACAATGGCTTTATGGCTGTGTCATGACCCGGACACAAAGGAACATGACTTCAGCAAGAGACTCACTTTAGAGAGAAATGAGAGAAGAGGAAGAGACCAGACCAAAAAACATGCATGCAAACACACTAAAGGTGCAGTGTGTGTTTTTCAATATTAAAAGAAATCAAACAGTTGAAAATTACGGTTGAGCCACTGATGTCACATTGATTATTTTAACAATGTCCTTACTACCTTTCTTTCTTACCTGTCTATGGAGGGTCAGAAAGCTCTCAGATTTGTTCAAAAATATCTTAATTTGTGCTCCTAAGATTTAGAGGGTCTACGATGAACGAAGGTCTAACGGGTTTGGAACGACATGAGGGTGAGTAATTAATGACAGAATTTTTTTTGGGTGAACTATCCCTTTAATATCATTTAGTTTTGTTGATGGATGTCAGCCCTATAAGGCATACTGTATCATATTTGATACACAAATTTCAAAGGCCTCTAAATTACGATCAAAATTTTGCAGAGAAACCTGTTATACACAATTTTCTACATGCTTTCTGTTGTCTGATATTTATACTTTTTCAGCAAGTAAAAGCTCTTTCATTATAATTCTAAAAATGTCAATGTGTCTTTTTTGCTGTTATTTTTATTTAAAAAAAACATAAGAATAACTTTTATATTGTTAGTAATGTTTCAAGATAAACACTTGCATGCACTTACATGATTATCCATACAGCATTTTTGAGAAAAATGTTAAAATGTGAGTATTAAATGTTACATCAGGCTGTTGGAACGGTTATTTTCACATATCTCAATCATTTATGTATTGCACTGCATTATGTTTTGCCCCCAACAATATTAACCACAGAGCATTAATCAATAAACTATGATATTTATGTGCATTTTATGCATGTGGTCTGTTATAAAGATCAGGATTTACATTACAAGCTATCAGAATTTCATCTTACCATATAAATATCAGCAACTGCACCAAAATGCATACTGAATAAAACTAAGGTTTTTTCCTTCTTGAGAAAGAGCTCCATATTCTCCTACATCATACTAAAAATAATAAAAATCAAAAACATAATCCTGATGTTTCAGATATGATACTCCAATATGTCTTTAAGATTTTGTCTAAAGGTGAACTAAAAAAAAAATAAAAATTCTAGCCTAATATTTCATATGTCAGTCTTTACAGGGTTAAATCTCAAACTGACACAGTATCATATTTGTACAAAACTAAGTTTATGCTTTAATTTAGAAAGTGAAGCACAGAACCCTGACACAGCACACTTTTCCTGACTAAGGAGCTTGCTATCTGTTCAATCCTGCACATATATCCTTTAAAGCTGCAACTAACACTCTTTTGCTTATCTGGGGTTATTTCTCTCTCTATCATACTCTCTCCTGGCAGGCTCACATGAATATAACATTTTCCCTCAGGGTGCCTAGATTTACCAGACCTAACTGTGCCCATGGATCAAGGGATCAAACTGTGCATTGTTTTACCCAAAAAGCCCTGCAGGAAGATGATTCATCTGTCTATTCTTTTGGAATAAAAAGCTAAGTTTTTTTTTCTTTCCCCAATTCTTTCCCACCAGGATTACAATGCAGGACTGGCAATTTCAATTGAGCATGAACATGATTTTACAGCAGAGAGCGAGATAGAGAGAGCATTGCTTGTATTGTCCAGAGTGAGCGATATCATCTCTCATTAGAGGGTTACTGGTGGCGAGCAGCGATTCCTCGACCGACAGCTGTATGACCTCTCATTTTACAATCCATTTAACCGCCTCAATGCTGTTTATCGCCCTCGTCTTGCTGTTTGCATAGTCGCGCCACTGCAAACATGGGTGTGAGTCCCTTATCTCCCCTCTACACGGAGATCTCAATCATCGCAGTTGAATTAAACTGTATGCCTGGCAGCAATAAAGAGGCACGGGAAATGCTCTGTTGTTGGAGGTTTTTACAAGGACCTGTCATCCTGAGTAAATTAGAGAGGGTGATTATTCGCTCTCGCTGGCATGCTCTATTAAAAGGCTGAAGTGTGTGGGTGGGATTGCAGGAGGACAGCCGAGCGGCAGAACCCGTTAAGCAGGACTGA